CCCCGGCCCCCGCCGCCGTCTGCGCTGCTGGGTGCCTGGGGAAGCGCTGGCCCGGCGAGCGGGGCTGGCCGGGCTGGGGGGGCTCCGTCCAGGGCGCGGCCTCCGGGCCCGGAGGGCTGTCACGGCGGAGGGAAGCCCTGCAGCGGCTCTCCGGACTGCCTGTCGGGCTCAGCCCTTGGGCCGAAGCGTGGAGGAGCAGCCAGGAGCTGGCTGGCAGGGAGCTGCAGCCGGGGCTGTGGGCACCGTGCGGTTCAGGGCCTGCAGCCATCCGTCTCCTCGGAGCCACAAGAAGGCCTCAATAGCCCTAGGTTCCCCTCTGGGGTGAGAGACTGGCTTTGCCCTTGGTGCTGGATCACGTACTGGGGCAAATGCCGTGCTATGCCAGCTCTACCCCCTCAGCCCTGGCCTTAGCGGGGTGCTGGGGGAGCAGAGCTGTTGCATTTGGCTGCTGTGGGTTCTCTTCAAAGCTGGAGAAGGGGAACTCTGGTGTGGTTTTAGGTGCTTCCCTAGCATGGCTGTGCTTGGCAGAGGTGAGAGCCCACTGGTTTTGGCGGGTGGGATGCCCAGAGCCCATCAGAGCATCCGTGGGCACCTGCACAGCTGGCCGTGGCTCGGCCTGTCCTGCTTTTCCAGGAGCTGCTGGCCCGTTGGGCACTGAGGTGCAGGAGGAAGGGGGATGGGTGCCGTACAGCAGGCACTGGGATGGGGCTGACCCACTGCACATTTGCAGGATTTGCGTGCGCTCAGGGCCCACCTGCTGCACATCAGGGAAGGACTGGAGTGGGTGTGGGCGTGCAGAGCAGCTGTCTGTGCCAGGGAGGCCACCACAGAGGCTGAGCGGAGGGAGCGGGTTCAAGGGATGGGAAGGGGGGTTACAGCCCTGCGGGTGCCTCTTGGTGGGGAGTTATTTTCTGCAAAGATAAACTTCAGGGAAAATGAGATTGGGCATTGAGGTTCCCCTGTTGCATCCAGTGCAATGCTCCCGTGCGGTGGCTGGGAGCTGGTGTCGTCTGTCAGGCTGTACACAGGGAAGGAGCCTGTGGAAGTCTGTCTCTGAATAACACCCCTGCTTGAGTCAGGAGACAGGCAACTGCTTCACTTCTGTCTGTTGCCCTTGAGGCAAGTTGGGACAGGTCCATGAAAAGGCCTGTTTCCCATCAGTGAGCAAGAAAGTGGTCTCTCCCCCACCCCAAACACTGAGAGCAAAGTCTTCTCTCAGTGGGCAGTGGCTTGGAGGTGAACAGTCTTCCCCGCAGACAGATACATGCAGCTCAGCTGCGCAGGGGCCAGGGTGGTGCAGGTGGCCGAGCAGCACGGCTGGAGCCCAGGCAGCTGCCAGAGGGTGACCAGGCACCCGTGAGGCCGTGCCTTGGTGGCTGACGATCCTGATGCTCCCCAGGCCAGCAGTGAGAGGCGGATGCTGGATCTGCATGCTGCGGAGGGGGCAGCTGCTGCTGGGTCTTTGGGAGCATTTCTGGGGGCCAGTTCAACACCTGGGCTCGGGGAGAAGTTGACCCTGGGTGGTGAAAGAGGTTGAAGTTTGCAGAGGCTCGTGATGTGGGAGGAACTTACTTTGCATCAGTTTATCCATTGATGCGGCCTGTGCAGACGTGGTTCGTGCTGTTCTGTTCCCGGCAGGGCTATGGTGACCTGGGAAAGGTTTTTTCAGAGGGCAGAGCCCGGTGGGTGGAAGCAGAACATGGCTGCTGTGTGTAACCTCCTCTCCCTTGCCCCCCAGCTTACCTCTCTCAGAACAGCATGGCACGACGCACGCGGAGCAGCAGGGCCTGGCACTTTGTCCTGAGCGGGGTGCGGCGCGAGGCGGACACCCGGGCAGTCGCCTTGGCCACCGGTGCACGTGGCTGGGGCTACGACTCTGACGGGCAGGTAGGCTGGCGCTCCGGTGGCTCTGAAGCAACATGAAGGAAAGCTTTCCTCTCCCCAGACAGCAGGCACTTACTCAAGGTCTGTCTAACTGAGCAGCTAGTACTTCAGCAGGCAGAACTGGCCAAAATCAGGAAAGACTTAACATACAGGCTGTCTAATGAGCCTCCTCCAAGCTCTAATGTGGGGTGCAGGGCTGCCAGCACATCTTCTCAAGGCAGGGAAGGCTAAGCTGCCCATAGTCTGCTCCCCAGTTGTGCACCACAGCTCTGTCGTTAGCTGAGCCAGGGAGCTGATCGCTACTAAGCCAAATGCTTTTTTAAGCATATAATGTGTGTGTGTCTTGTATAAAGTACATACAGTATTTTTTAAATATTCTTTTTTAAGTAGTGATCTAAATATGTGTTTAAACTGGATCAGTTCTCGAATCTGGCTTGCTATACGGCTGTACTAACTTCTGGTCTTTGTGTGGCTGGTAGGTGGTGGTTGAGGGAGTGGGGCTGCTTCAGTCTGTGAAGTTACATTCTCAGATATCTTCAAACTGAAATTCTCTCACGTTTTCTGCTCTGTAACGTGCACATCACTTCTGAACCTGGCCCGGGCATGCAGGTGTGCTGGAAGATGGGAACACAGCAGGAAAAGCAGTCAGTAAAACAGTGCAAGGAAGTCACTTAGATTCACCTCTGCCATACTTCACTCTTTTCCCCAGTTCTTGAGCATGTGAGTTCAGTTCCCTGAGCAGTGGTGGGGACGCAAGGAACTGCTCCTGGAGCTTCAAAGCTAGGCTAAAGCCTTACGAGGCCACTCTCAGAGCATGGTGTCCAAACCCAGGCACTGTGCTCCCAGAAAATGAGCCTTTTCTCTGCAGTTGGAGTTGCTTTGTGTTTCTGCAGTAATGGGAATGCCTGGATTTCTAGATAGCTGTAGTTAGGAAGGGCCAATGAAAGACAGAAATCAAGCTTTTTAATGTACAGGCTGGAGAAGGTGGGGTGGGCAGTATATAAGTAAGCCCGAGTCATTTCATACAGCTACAAGAACATGAGTTTAAAGGATTTTTGTCTTTAAGTACTGCTTACAAAGTCTGCCATGGGGGTGAATACGAGCAGGTACACCTGACCAGCATGTAAACCCAGAGTAACTCGCTGTAGTCTGTGGTAAAAGACTCCATTAGGCGATGCCAAGCCTCCCATAACATAGGGAGCGAGATGGGGCTTTGACTCTTACAGCGTCCAGTGCAGGGGCACTTTGGTCTCTTGGCACTGGGGAACAGTAAATCAAGTTTTCGTGTTCATGCATGAAAGTAAACAAAAGCCTTTTAATCCTTCCGTAGGTTCCCTGTGGGCCTGTCTGCAGTGCTGGCGTGAGGAGCTGCAGCCGTACTGCTGAACTGGTTCCCCTTTGTTCTGCCCTCTCCTCTGCCTGGCCTCCTGTCCCTTTCCTCCTCATCTTGTTTGCCTCTCTCTCTCTCCCCTCCGTCAGCTCCCAGGCTTTCTAGAGCAGTGGTTTTCAGCTGTGTGCTCTGCTTTTGTGGTGCCTTGGCTGGGGTCTCCAACTGGCTGTAACCTGCCCATTGAAAACCATAGCTTTAGGACAAGAGTTTTCTTAAAAATGCATGTGTTAAAGACTTGGACTGTCACACTGCTTGCCTGCTGTGACAGATCCTCGCCCCTGGAAGGCACAAAGAACATACCCGCATTGTAGAATGCCCGGTGCTGAGAGGTCTGTGCAGCTCAGACAGATGCTAGCCAGGTCCCAAAGCAGGGCAATTCAACTGGCACAGCCTCTTGCCTCCCTACATGGTGGGCCAGGCTGGGGCACGATGCAGCCATGCCGCCACCAGCGCTGGATGAGCCTGGGGACCTCTCTGCACAGCTCTGCGGCACACCAGACCTCACAGGCCTCTGCCAGCCCAGCTCCCTGAGCCTGGGGGTGTTCAGTAGTGACCATTCCTCCGCTCTCCCCGGCAGCACAGCGACTCGGATTCGGAGCCGGAGTTTTCCTCCCTCTCGCCCTCCATCCCAAGCGCCATCCCTGTGACTGGGGAGTCCTACTGCAACTGCGAGAACCAGAGCGAAGCGCCCTACTGCTCCAGCCTGCACGCCCTCCACCGTGTCAAGGACTGCCAGTGTGGCGAGGAGGACGAGTGTAAGGAAGGGGCTCCCCAACAGCCTGCCATAGTCCTTTGGGGTTTGAGGTGGGTGCAGTCCTGGCCTGGTGGCATGGACTGCGCCCCTGCACGGATCCTTTGCTTTCCACGGGGGCCTTTATCTCTGTCCCAGTGTGCGGTGCTCCTTTGTTTACATTTCAAGGCCACATAGACTGTAGGAAGATTACAAGCATGTGCCTCCTGTGAGGTTTCAAGGGCTAAGTGCTGAACTTGTTAACGCATAAGAGTTTGCCTCTGGGGACCTGCTTTCAAATCCAGCTTAGGCCACCAGTGAAACTGGCCCTTGTGGTTACAGCCCTCTTGCAGCTGATCCCTGGTATGCCTGGCAGGGCGCCTGGCTGCATGGCAGGGCATGCTCAGAGCAGAGGGGAGAGGTAGGCAGAGGGTGGGCTTGGGCTGGCCGAGAAGGCCTGTGGTGTAGCGGAACTACCTCTTGAGCCTATGAGAAGTGTGGGAAGAAAGGAGGCTCTGCCTGGATCTGCGGAGTCTTGTGTTAACCAAAATGAGAACTGGTGAAGGCTGACAGCTTCGGGTTCAGAGCACTGAACAGTCCCTGGTGAGACACTGCAGAATAGTTCAGGCCTCAAACAACTCTCCAGTGTGCACAGCTTAGGATTTACCCTCTTAAACAGTAAAAAAAATGAAATAAAAACCCTGACAGGCCTTCAAAACAAATGTCCGCTTGTGCTTTGGCTTAGCGATTGCTCCCTGAGGGCCTTTGCCCATCCTTGTCCCCTCTGTGCTTCCTGAACAGATTTTGACTGGGTGTGGGATGACCTGAATAAGTCGACGGCCACTCTGCTGACCTGCGACAACCGCAAAGTGAACTTCCACATGGAGTACAGCTGTGGCACTGCTGCCATCCGGGGGAACAAAGAGCTGGCAGACGGGCAGCACTTCTGGGAGATCAAGATGACGTCCCCAGTCTACGGCACAGACATGGTACGTGGGGCAGAGTCACTTACGGGCACACAGAAATGTCCAGTATTCTTTGAACAGGGACTGGGAGAATGAAGAACCACCCACCATAGCAGAAGATCAGATTCGAGGCCATCTAAGGAACCTGAATGTGCACAAGTCCATGGGACCTGATGAGATGCATATGTGGGGCCTGAGGGAACTGGCAGATGAAGTGCCTAAGCCACTATCCATCATATTTGAGAAGTTGTGGCAGTCCAGGGAAGTTCCCACTGGAAAAGTGGAAACATAATCCCCATTTTTAAAAAGGGGAAAAAAAGGAAGACCTGGGGACCTATAGGCCAGCCAGTCTCACCTCTGTGCCTGGCAAGATTATGGAGTAGATCCTCCTGGAAAGTATGCTAGGGCATATGGAAAATAAGGAGGTGATTGGTGACAGTCAACATGGCTTCACTAAGGGCAAATCGTGCCTGACAAATTTGGTGGCCTTCTACGAAGGTGTTACAGCCTTGGAGGATAAGGGAAGAGCAACTGACATCATCTACCTGGACTTGTGCAAAGCATTTGACACTGTCCCACATGACATCCTTGTCTCTAAAATGGAGGGACATGGATTTGATGGATGGACCACTTGGTGGATAAGGAGTCGGCTGGATGGTCACTCAAAGAGTTGCAGTCAACAGCTCAATGTCTGAGTAGAGACCAGTGATGAGTGGTTTCTCGGGGGTTAGTATTGGGACCAGTGCTGTTTAACATCTTTGTTGGCAACATGGCCAGTGGGATTGAGTGCACCCTCAGCAAGTTTGCCAATGACACCAAGCTGTGTGGTGCAGTTGATGTGCTGGAGGGAAGGGATGCCATCCAGAGGGACCTTGACAGGCTTGAGAGGTGGGCCTGTGTGAAACTCATGAAGTTCAACAAGGCCAAGGGCGAGGTCCTGCACGTGGGACGGGGCAATCCCAAGCACAAATACAGCCTGGGTGATGAGTGGATTGAGAGCAGCCCTGCAGAGAAGGACTTAGGGGTGTTGGTGGATGAAAAACTGAATATGAGCCGGCAGTGCGCACTTGCAGCCCAAAAAGCCAATCACATCCTGGGCTGCATCAGAAGCAGTGTGACCAGCAGGTCGAGGGAGGTGATTCTCACCCTCTACCCACTCTGGTGAGACACCCCCCTCCTCCCCGCCTGGAGTATTGTGTTCAGCTCTGAGGCCCCCAACATAAGGAGGACATGGACCTGTTGGAGTGAGTCCAGAGGAGGGTCATGAAGATGATCAGATGGCTGGAGCACCTCCCCTATGAAAACAGGCTGAGAGAGTTGGGGTTGTTCTGCCTGGAGAAGAGAAGGCTCCAGGGAGACCTTATAGCAGCCTTCCAGTACTTAAAGGGGGCCTACAGGAAAGGTGGGGAAGAACTCCTCATCAGGGAGTGTAGTGATAGGATGAGGGGTAATGGTTTTAAACTGAAAGAGGGTAGATTTAGATTAGATATAAGGAAGAAATTCTTTACTGTGAGGGTGGTGAGGCACTGGAACAGGTTGCCCAGAGAGGTTGTGGATGCCCCATCCCTGGAAGTATTCAAGGGCAGGTTGGATGGGGCTTTGAGGAACCTGTTGTAGTGGAAGGTGACTCTGCCCATGGCAGGGGGGTTGGAACTAGATGATCCTTAAGGTCTCTTCCAACCCAAACCATTCTATGATTCTATGAACAGGACAGCAACCTTCTCCAGCAGTTCGGCTGGGCCGCCTCACTTAGGTAAGGAAACTGGAGCTGGGAGCCTTCAAGTCCATCCTGAAACCTCTGACGTGGCTTTACCAAAACCTCTGGGTGTTTTGGACTGTGCCAGGAAACAGAGGGGAGAGCCGGAGGTGGAGTCTTGGTTGTGTTTTGTTGCTCGAAAAGACACTAAGCTTGTGTTCTTTCTGGCCTTGCCTCCCAGATGGTGGGAATTGGGACATCAGATGTGAATCTGGACAAGTACCGCCACACCTTCTGCAGCCTGCTGGGCAAGGATGAGGACAGCTGGGGACTATCCTACACAGGTAATGCAGGCAGGGCAGTGGCAGAGGGCAGGAGGGCTGGAAGGGCAGCAGTGGGCATAAGTGTTGTCCAAAGGGGTTGAGAAGTAAATGATCTGAATGGGATCGAGGCCAAAAAGGCCACCAGGCCTGCAAGTTAATGACAACAGGAGTGGCTGCCTGCAGCCCTTAGCTCTTGGAGCATCTCACCTCACCTGTGTTTTGCAGACCCCTTAGGACTGGTGTGTGAACCTCCAGGGCACCTGGACTACTGGTTGCACGTCACTGGTTGGGGGTTTCAGTGCCGCTGCCTGTGCTCTAGCACTGCAAAACCTCAAGTTTCCCCTTTTCATTGCCTGCTCTGGGGTGGCAGGGAAGGGATCAGGCAACAGAGGGATTTTTTAGGTACTTACGGGAGTTGGGATGAAGTCATGGAGCTCAGGCTTTTCACTGAATGCCATTTTTCTTTTTTTTCTTATTTTAAGGACTCCTGCATCACAAAGGAGACAAAACCAACTTCTCTTCGAGGTTTGGCCAAGGCTCCATCATTGGGGTGCATTTGGACACGTGGCACGGGACACTCACGTTCTTCAAAAACCGCAAGTGCATAGGTAAGAGCAAGGGCAGCCGCAGTGGCTGGCAGGCAGAGGGACTGGGAGTGGGGAGCAGTGCAGCTTTGGCTGAACTCAGAGTCTGGCTGCAGTGGGTCTGCAGGAGAAAATGCTGGCATAGTAGAAGACCAAGGCATGAAGCAAGTGGGAGGAAGGTTACATTTGCTGTTTAACATATTGGGATTTCAAAAGGCTGTTTTCCAAGTGTTTTCCAACAGCTCTGTAGTTAATAGGTTCAGGGTAGCTGGGGAGGAGTGAGATCACCTTGTCAAAACTAATGCGAAGCCTTCCTGATGCTGTCCCGACAGGGGTTGCAGCCACAAAGCTGCAGAACAAGAAGTTTTACCCCATGGTGTGCTCGACAGCAGCCAAGAGCAGCATGAAAGTGATCCGCTCCTGCGCCAGCTGCACGTCCCTCCAGTATCTCTGCTGTTACCGCCTGCGCCAGCTCCTGCCCAACTATGTGGACACGCTGGAAGTGCTGCCATTGCCACCAGGACTCAAGCAAGTGCTACACAACAAACTTGGGTGGGTCTTGAGCATGAACTATAGCACGTTGAAGCCTTCCTCCTCCTCATCAGGAAGCGACTCAGATAGCTCTTGTAGCTCAGATGCAGAGGCCTGCCAAAGGAAGAGATGCAGGAGGACGTAATGTCTCTGCAGACGAACTGCTGTGAGGGAGTCGGGTGGGGTTTTGTTCTGCCGTTTATGAGGGCCGGCCAGGCCTGGTGCACCTCTTTCTTCATGGGGACATCCATTTCTAATCATTTGGAAAGATTGCTCTTACACTGTTGGAAATCTTTAGCCTAAATATGCATCACATGCATTGAAAAGACCTGTTGACTCCAAGAGGTCCCAGCTTTGTGCAGCGGGTAAACTGCAGCCAAAGAGCTGAGCTTCATCTCCTGACTTGCTCTCAAAGCCATTGCCTCTTCCTGAAGGATCCATCCCTCTTCTCGCTGTCAGCAGAGACAAGATTTAAGGTGCCCTCCTGGTTTCAGAGCATACTAGACTCCAGTCAAATCATGGACTTGACTCATCAAAAGACAAAATCAAAGAGCAGCCCCCTCCTCCTAATTGTCATGTGTTGGTTAGGTATCTGCCATGAACTCCTCACACTCTGGGGCACGATCGAGCAGCAGCACGTAGGGAAATGGGCTCCTAGAGATGCATCTGCATCACTGTTGTGAAAGAGCAGTTACTTACATGAGTTGAGCTGTTGGTGATCTTTCTTGAGTCCCCGGTGACTTTTAATTGCTTTGCATGTTGGCTCCTGCTGCTTCTCCTGTATCAAAGGCTGTATTAAACTGTAATAATAAAAATAGAACTATCTTTCGTTCCTCTTCTGGCCCTTGAAGGCAGGAATCTGAAGGCGCTTGTCAAAAATAGCCACGCTAGCACAGCTACCAGCCTGGAGGGGATGTTTTCAATGCAACACTTGTGTGTCAGATCTAGAGGAGGTTAAGGCAGGGGAGATTACCTTGCCTCTGCCCCGGGAGGGAGGGTTCTTGTGCTTCCCGCTGAAACACCAGTCTGGCTGGGATGGATCTTCAGCAGAGCCAGACTGATGCCACAGCACCACATGCTTGTGGCAGCCTGGCAGCAGAACCAGGTAGGGTCTGCCACTCCTGCAGGACTGGATGCCAACGCCATTCCAGTCCCTGCGGTTTCTGACTGCTTTCTGCAGGGCCTGCGGTCAGCCTGTGGGGCTTTTCCCCGGCCTTTGACCTCTCCTCCAGTGAGCAGTGCATTTGCGGATGATTAGGTCTGAGCTGGCACCATCAGGCAAGTGCAAAAGGTATTGGAAAGTGGAAGAGGGTTGAAATAAATAGGATGCTTTTACCCTGTCCTCTCCATGGGTTTCCTTCCAGCATGGTCACTGGGAACACAAAGCTTCAGCTGCTGCCTTTTCCCCTGCTCCCAGTACAGACCTGCAAAGGCTCTGGTAAAGCTTATTGCACCACATACATTTATTCCCTGTCGAGCCACAAGACTCCATGCTTTTCCTTCCCACATCACAAATCTTTAAGCGAAGATGGCTCTCGCTTCTCTGGTGACAGGGTTTGAATGAAAACCTTAATGAAGTAGGACAGGCTCTCTGTCAATCCATCTGTATCAGTGCTGCAGCCAGAAAAAACAGCCTTGCTGGATTGTTCCTCCCCAGGAACTAATTCAAGTATTAGCAGATGGAGGCAGAAGAATCCCTGGCAAGGAGGAACTTTGTTCAGAGGATGCCCTCCCACTTCTGCAGCACCAGTTGGCATTGCTTTGAGTCAGCAAGCTGCAGTTCATGGGAAGAAGTTCAGGGGTTTCTGTGTCATTGTGGAAGGCCCCAATTAGCAATACCAAAACCTCAGGCACTGGGGGGGGGTGGGGGGGCGGGTGTCCCTGAACCCTGCTGTCCTGGCTGCAGCTATTTCTGAGGAAAAAACTGAGTGTTTGCTTTGGGAAAAGAGAATCCTATCCTAACCCACCATTCGCATGGAGTTTTCTGGAGCCTATCTGGCATTTCCTCATGTTGGGAGTTCAGCCAACAAACTCCCCTCCCCTGCCCTGAGCTCCATGTTACCTTAAGGATGTCATTCCTCTCTGGCCAGCTGTTTTTGATAGTTGGCAAACGTTGTCCAAGGTAACTCCAGCAAGACTGGCCTGCCCAAGGAAGCCACAAGCAGGACCTACAGTAACAGGTCCAGTGTCACCAAAGAGCCAGTGGGGAGCAGGACATTAAAAGTCAGGACATGCTGCAGAAAATACATGGCTTGTTCAACAACTCACCTGAAAGCTAGCGCAGGACAGACTCCCCAGGCAGCTGTCTCAGCAGAGGAGCTGATCCTGTGCTGCTCACATGCTAACACTTTAACATGCAGCCCCTGTTCCAACCATTCCTTAGCTCTCTTAGGAGACAGCCAGCTTTCCAGCCAGGGGGATAGAAAGCTGGGGCAGCTAAAAGAGGAAAGGAGAGCCAAGAGGCTGAAGAAAGCATCTGTAACAAGACATTTATTGATGTGCAAGTCTCTGTTCTGAAACAGAATCACCTGCTTCCCTTGGCCAGGCTCCCAGCAGCACTGCCATGCCAGCAGCAGCTCAGCCACTGCCGAGTCTTGGCAGATAAAACAAGGAGGCTGACCGACACAGCCCACAGTCCCTCTATGTGCTCAGGTCCAGGACAAGGTCGGGGTCAGTGGATACCATGAAGAGGTAGATGCGGCGGGATAAGTCTGGCCCAACACGGCGGTCTTTGCTGCTGACATCCAATTTCACTGGGATGTCACTCAGCAGGAGTCGTTTTTCATCTTCTGTGCTGCATTCTTCGTAGGCCTTTGAGCACACAGGAGAAGGAAGCAGTTAACACAGATGCTCTAAGAGAAGACTTCAATCTCCCCTGCAAGGCTCAATCCCATCATTACAGTGAGGATCTGTGACTGAGCCTTCATCCAAACATACCAGGATCAGGGGCTAAAACTCAGAAGGAACAAGATCTCACTTGCAAACAGACCTCACACACACTCAGAGCTGTGTGTTGCCCCTCCAGCATATAGGAGAGAGCTGTAAAGCCTCTTCTTCTGAAGCAGCTAAGCTAGGGACAGAGATCAAAACTCCAGGGGAAGAAAAAGGAGAGGGGAGTGACTACATGAGATATTTTTTAAAAAATTCTGTCACAGTTCCTGATCTAACGGAAAGAGTTCATGTGATTAATGCTCACAAAAACAAGCACTTGCTGATAAAAATGTGTCTTCGTAAATTGGCTAAGCTGCTGTCAGAAGGGTCAAACAGTATCCTAGTCTAATCCTGCTCCCCCAACACCTCGCTGAGCCAGTCTAGCTCAGGAAGCAGCAGAAGGCTATGGGGAGTAGGGAGAGGGAGAATTTAGTGAGCTAAATCAGCTCCCTGAAGGATCAGACAACAGAAAAGCAAGGAAAGCATGGGGTATGCCACTGGTGACAGCAAGCAGTAGGAGAGCTCAGGTATCCTGTGGAAATCCCTCACAGTCCACAGGGGCGATACACGTTTTCTGCTTGCGGGTGATGTAGAGCTGTTGGACTGTAACAGCAGCCACCTGAGACATCACCCATTTCAAATAAAGACAAGCAAAGCTGATGGACAGACCGTGTTGCACAGGGGCAGTGGCATGCATCCAACAGACCCTCAGCTGCACCGGCTGGGGTGGGCAACCAAACATATTGCCAAGCAAAAATGCAAAGACGCTTTGAGTGGGTCCTGTGAGGTGAGATCAAGGCAGGGAGGGGCCTGGAAGGGCGAACAGTAAGTAGCTACTGCTGAAACAAAGCTATGGTTTAAGGAAGTCAAACACCCATCTGGAGACAAGCGCTTTTCTGGAGAACCGATTTCACACTCGGGGTTTGTTTGCTCCATCAATGAAGACCTTTAAGCGAGGAAGCATGTGGCACTCCTTCCTGCCTTTACCCTTCAAGCTTTTAAGAGGATGCAGAGGGGTTTGAGGGCTTACCTGTAACAAGAGGCTTGGGGAGGGATATGCTTCCGCTATAGTTGCTGCTGTTGCAGGGCTGACCCTGTTAAACTGCTGGATTTGTCTCTTCCACACCTGCCAGAGTCCTGTGCCGTCCTTTTCCAGTCGCACCCTGCTGGCCCAGGCCCCGGCAGTGCAGAAACGCAACTCCTGCGACTCCAGCTGCCTCCTGTGGAAAGACAGACTGCTGAAAGCAAGACCTGGGGCTGGTGCGTGCACTGAGCACAGGCCTGCAGACCCCAGACACTGCAGCCTTCCCGTAGCATTAAGCAGTGAGCTTCCTTCTAAAACCTCTTTCTGCCCAGGGCTAATATTTCCCCCGCCTCAATTTTCTTTCCTTCCCTGGAAAGCTCCACAACACCACGGTGAAAAGATTTTCCTAAGGCTGTAATTTTCCCTCCTTTCCTAGTGCTGAATCACCACTACGTTCACCACAAGAAGAGAGGATTTTCATCAGCACAGAGACTGAAAATGATCTTAAGACACATCTAGTCTGGGCCCTTACACTGACGTCATCCAGGACAGGCTGGCAGCCACAGATATATGTTCCTGTAACTTCCACTGAGCTTTCCCAAAGCTCCGGGCTTGGGATGTGACTGAGTCCAGCAACATGACTCACTTGTACGGGCGTTTTCCTATCGCCTTTGTCAGTGCAGAGACGTGCTGTCCGAATTCCTGCCACGTGTCTAGGAACAACACTTCGATGTTACCCCACAGCTGCAGCACCACCAGCGCCTGGAGGAGAAGTGACAGAGGTGAAACATGTAACACGCTGACCCACAGGACAAGGACAGGCTCGGATGGGCCAGCCATGAGCCGGCAGCCCAAGGTCCTCACCCTCCTCGACCCTCAGCCAGTAGTGCTGGTGTCAGCCCTGGCCACCAACGGCACCCAGCGAGAGCAGCAAGGAAAGCACACAAGTAGAACATGTCCTGTGGCAGGATGAAGCTGGCCTGGGACTGGAAGGGGAGGGAGGCTGGGCTGCCTCTATTAGCTCTGTTTACACAGTGCTGCAGTAAAGCCTGCTCATCCTTCTTAGCTCCCAGTAAGCCAGTGAGTCATGACCCCTTTGGGGCATACTCAGGCAGGGCAGGAATTTAGTTCAAGGGATATCAAGCAAGGGTTTAGATGGTATTTGACCTAGTTTATGACTGTTGCAGCATCACAAGGAGCACTCCTGCTCTGCTGTGGGGGACACGTTCTGCAAGGCAGAGTCCTGAGCAAGAACCAACAGGTCTTTCAAAACTAACTGGGCAGTTCTTGGTGGGGTTACAGGAGGAAGAAACTCACACATGTGAGGGGAGGCTGGATCAGCTCTTAACCAGAGTCTTTAAGAACAAGAGGCTCCAAATTGTGCCTCGAAGTCTGCAGTCCCTCTTCAATCCCATTGCCAGCCAGGGTGAAGGAGGGTGCATGTGGATGCAACCTCATCCAAGCCAGCCACCACCTCCCCTGGCAAAGCATTCTTTACACACAAGAGCTCATCAGTGGGAGCCTTTTCCATACAGCTCAACCCCAAGTAACATAAAACTTCAAGGACTGTAAGAATTTTTACCTCTAGTATCTCCTCCTGAGTCATACACAGCTCTGGGCCAGGCTGGGAGCTAGAACTCTGTTTTCCAGGGCTCAGTGCCTGCTGCCTGCTGTGCTCCTGGTTACACCTATAAGCAAGATACACCACTCACGCAGAAGCTCAACATATTCACACATCAGGGCTGCTGTCTGATAAAGAAGAAAAGGCCAGACTTAACCCGCCCACATCTGCCACCTCCCAGTCTGACTTGGAAGCTGGAGACAAAGGGGTGGTGGCAGCTCCCCTGCAAGGGAGAGGAGACCCAAAACTAGAG